AAACATGAAACAATTTAATTTATCAAACATCTTAATTCTTTAAAACTGTAACAATGAAACAAACATGAAACAATTTAATTTATCAAACATCTCAATTCTTTAAAAATGTAACAATGAAACAAACATGAAACAATTTGACTGACCAAATGCCTTAATTCTTAAAAAAATGTAACAATAAACATGAAACAATTTGATTTATCAAACATCTTAGTTCTACTGAACACATGAATTCTTAAAAATGAAACAATAAAACAAATACCAAACATACATAGTGACTACAAAGCATATTCAACCAACAGTATGTTTGATACTTTTCACTATGTTATAGGTTCAGCTTATCTGTCTTTGGTTAACTTGTGTTCAGGTTACTGATGAGTAGCAGAATTCTCTGAAACTAGTACAACTCAGTAACTCACATTGATTAAAGTGTAGATTGAACTGGACCTCCCTTGAACTTAGGCTTTGAGATTAAACAATTTTAAGAATATTTAGTTTATCTATTATTTTATAATAAAACAAATACTAAACCTTTTGATTCACCAAGCTTTAATTTATAATACATATTCATACACAGAAGTGCATTTTTCATAACCACTGTGTGAAATGAATCTATAAACAAGTTTATTAACCTGTTAGAAACTATCTATCATATATCAAATGATTAAGTTGATATAAAAATTTGTTGGATTTTCCTTTGTAAAGAAAAACCTTGCATTTCTGGAAAGAGCTGAAAAATATTGAATATTCTGCCATCTATTACTGAAAAATGTCTATAATGATGACCTAACGTATTTTTAAATGATTTTATCACTGTTTTACACTTTATATATAAAAAAAAAAAAAAAATGGAACTGTTATTGTGCTATTTTGATAGTGTAAAACAAAAAGGGAAAAATTTATTTATTTTAGTTATCCAGACTATTTATAAATTAATTGCCACCAAGTTATAATTGGAGTTCAGAAGGAATCCTTGCAACCAAATAGATCACCATGAAGGTATGAAACTCAAGTTATTGGTATCTTCAGTTTTTACCATTTACTTGTCAAGTACTGAATCTCGATATAGTGATTATGTATTAAAACTATAAACCTGGAAAACTTGCATTCTCCTCCTGATTTCAAAATGTGGGAATCAGCACTAACAGTGGCATTGGCTAAAATAATTTACAAATGAAGTCTACATTGATTTCATACAAAACAAATGTCCTCAAAGTTATACTTAATGAAAATTAAGAGTTATATATTTTCGGAGGATTATATAATGGATTCTAGAGGGCATGACAGTATCCTTGAATACAATACATTCCCGACTTGGTGGCACAGATGCCATCTTGACTTTTCGTAAGCAACTTTTCACAAGTAGGCCTATATCTTGTCAAGCAAGTCTTTTTGATGGATAAGTTTTAAGTAATAAACATGACTATATTCCAGAGGACCATTTGCATGGAATTCTACTAGATTCAAAACAAGGCTTAACATTTTGTAGTTTATGGCTTATTATTATTGTTTTGGTTAAGCACAGTTATAATCCACGCAGATTAATATGAATGCATTTGTGATTCACCCACCAATAATGTTCTGGTTAAGCAAATTTAGCTTACATATGCCTAACGTGTCACATCCATGCAGATAAATATGAATGTGCTAGTGATGTATCCACCCATGATGTTCCACTATTAGCATAGCTAATTGTGTGTCCTACAAAATTTCCACTGTGTGCCATTAATTTTGAAGCAAGAAGATGCAGATCTGTAGAACCTAGGAAAAACACTGATTATATAGAAATAAACAAGAACATGCAGCTCTGACTGACCTGAGTCAATCTTCTGTCTGTTTTGCTCAAATTCATGTTGTTCATCACCATTAAGTCCATGTGTTACATTCACAATACAATCCGAAGTGCCTTCTTTATTTACCTGGAATAGATTTTCTACCCCAGGTTGTTCAAGTACCACATTAGCATAAACAGAACTCAGACTACTGTTGGACTGTTGTGGTTGATAATCACTTCCTCCCATACTGAAGTGCACATTCTGTACAGTAACATCACTACCAGGTGCACCTTTTTTAACTAACTGTTCTTGTTCCACTTCTGTTCGAGTGAGAACGTTCTCCAGCAGATCTTCTTGAGCTGCTGCTGTTGGCTCTGCCTGTTGGGAAAATGCACTTCCAACTTCTGTATCAAGAGTGCATTCAGGTTGCCTGGTTTTCTTACTTCTTTTGTCTAAGTATACCATATTTGGCTGTTTAAAGAACATACACTCAGATTCTTTGTTCAAAACATGTTCTGTTGACTCTGGTTGGTCAATTGTCCCAACACTCCAGCCTAATTCTCCCTGGTCTGGCTTTTGACAAACATCATCTTCAGATTCTTTGTTCAGAACATGTACTATTGATTCTGATTGGTCGGTTGTCTCCACTCTCCAGCCTAATTCTCCAGAGTCTGGCTGTTGACAAACTATACCTATAGAAGTTGAGTTGATAACACTTTTGGGAGGTTCTGTTTGACTAGGATTCATGATCAAAACCATCCTCTCCAGCTGAGACTGCAGGGAGCTCTGAAATCTTAACAATTCTGCCATACTTAAAAAAAAAAATCAACAATTTCTTATAAGTAATGGGAATTTTTAAGATTATCAATAACATGTATTGATCATTTTCATTTGAGTACTGGAAAGATTACTAAGGTTTTCATGTAGTTACATCACTTTAAGGTAATATAAGTACTTCAATCAGATAATAATAAAAATGGTTAGTTACATTTTACTCACTAGTTACTTTATATTAATCGGGTTAATTCATTAGTCATTTTTCAAGGTAAGTCTAGGTTAAGTTCATGTTGTTAATCATCTCTCACGGCAATTTTATATCAAGTGACAATCACCAGACATAGTATGTGTTGTTAATCATCTCTCACGGCAATTTTATATCAAGTGACAATCACCAGACATAGAGAGATGATTAACAACACATAGAAGGCAATTCTATATCAAGTGATGACCACCAGATGGCATCTGGAATGTTCTTTATGTAGATATTTCCTAATACCATTGGAACTAAGTGGCCACTGTGTAATGCTCTATTTTAATGATATAAACTGATAATTATCAGTTCACAGACATTACATCCAATTTTAATATAACTGATTTATTACTAAGATACTGTACAACCCATTTGAAATCAGATGATGTGTATATCAAACTTCCCATGCTTGTTTCCATATTATTCACCTCTCTCACCATTTATTAAGAAATTCTCATATATAAATAAACTAACTAAATCAGAAAATAAAACTATGTTAGTTTCAAAATAAGAAAAAAAATATCAAATAATGACCTTGTTAACTGCTTCAGCAAGATGTCTGGTATCCCAGTTTTGAAACTCAGAAACTGGTTCAACATCACACAGAGCACTTAATAAACTCAACAGAAGTTCTTCCATCAAAATAACTTCTTCAGTGATGTCTTGTCGGATATCTTGTAACGACTGGTAACAAGCCCTAGACACACACACACACACACACAAAGTTTTCAAGTATATCTTAATATTCATTTCTCATAGATTTAACAGGTTACTAAAGAAGAACACAAACATTTTGTATTTCATGTAAGCACATTTCTACTGGCCAGCATTAGTTTAAGTTTTAAGTCCTTATTTGTTAAAGTTTACATATATTTTAGAAGTACTTGTCCTACTAAAGGTTTATGTACAGCACCTTGCAAAAGTCTTCACCCCCCTGTGCTGGTAATCAATTTTAGTTATTTTCTTGTGAAAGACATAATTCAAATGGCCAAAAATATTTATTATATTAATCTCAGACCAGTTTCTAATGATTACAGAGAATAAAAAATACATTGTTACAAACTTCAGTGATATAACACAAAAAAAAATCTTGAAAATACATGTTGCAAAAGTCTTCACCCCCAACATGATTGATATTTGGTTGAAGCTCCTTTGGCAGCAATGACAGTTGAAAGTCGTTTTGGATATCCCTCCACAGGCTGTGCACAGTATGCTGGAGATATATTTGCTTGCAGATATCTTCCAGTTCTTGTAAGTTGAAAGCATGTCTTTGATTCACAGCAATTTTTAATTATCTCCACAGATTTGAGAGTAGATTTAGGTCTGGGTTTTGGCTTGGCCAGTCAAACCATTCTTGAGTTGCCTTTGATCTGTGTTTTGGATCACTGTCCTGTTGATATGTAAATCTTAGACCAAGTTTTAGCTTTTCAGCTGACTTCTTCAGGTTTACCTCCAACATCTGTGTATATTTTGCACTGTCCATGATCCCTTGAATGCGAACAAGTTCTCCAGTACCAGCTGCAGAAAAACATCCCCACAGCTTTATCGACCCACCACTATGCTTGACAGTTGGGACTGTATTTGCTGGGTCATGGGTCAGTGTTGGGTTTCCATCATACATACTGTTTGTCAGTTAACCCAAAAAGTTCTATTTTGGTCTCATCTGACAATAGAACTTTCTGTCACATTGTTGTAGGGTTATTGAAATGTTTACGAGCATAGTTCATTTGTCAGTAGTGGTTTCTTTCTTGCCACCCTACCATATGAACCTTTTTTGATATTGTCGAGGTGTGTACAGTAACTCCAGTTGCTGCTGTTGAAGTTTGCAGCTCCTTCAGTGTCACTGTTGGCTTGACAGTCGCTTCTCTGATGACTTTTCTGCTTGTTCGAACGCAGACTTTCTTAGGGCAACCTGATCTTGACAAGGTTGAAGTAGTGTGACACACTTTCCATTTCTTCACAACCGATGTTACAGTACTTAATGGCAAATTGAGAACCTTTCAAATTGATTTATAGCCTTCTCCAGAATTGTGCTTCTGAACAATCTTCTCCCTTAGGTCTGTAGAGAGTTCTTTTCTCATCATTCTCAATATGTAACAGTAAACCAAATTTTAACTTTCAAAATACTCTGCTGAAATCAATACTGATGGTTCTATATCACCTAAAGTATTTTTCTCATGTCTCTATAATATACTTTACTATATGATACAGTTGTACAGAGCCTCTTGTATTTACTTTAGCAGGGTATTGATGTAAAGTTAAATCAACAATGGTAAAAGCTGAGGGGGTGAAGCCTTTTGCAACATGTTTAAGATTTTGTGTGTTATATCATAGAATTGGGTAACAATGCACCTTTTGTTGTTTGTAATCTTTAGAAACTGGTCTGAGATTAATATAATAAATATCTTTGGCCATTTGAGTTACGTCTTTCACAAGAAAATACCTAACATTTCTTACCAGCACAGGGGGGGATGAAGACTTTTGCAAGGCACTGTATAAATTCCAGGGATTAGTTTAAATTCCAAGTCCTGGTCTTGTTAAAAGTTTAGATATATGTAAGAAGCAATGGTCATAGTAAATTTTTGTACATAAAATTCAAGAATTGCTTACGATTAAATACCAATTACTACGAGTTGAAAACCAAGTTTTACTATCTCTGTCATAAAACTGAAAGCCTTACCTCTGATCTCTGGACATATTTGACAGTAATCTTTGAAATGTACGTGTTCTGCTGGCTAATTGTTGTTGTTCTGCAAACTTATAATGCTTTAAGGCAAGTCGTAGATTCTGTAGTTCAAGCAGGGTTTGTTTCTATCCAGAATGATGTTGATAAGATTTACAAATGAATTTTAATTAACAATTCAAAATTATAACATTTTGCAAGACAATAATTGTTAATCTTCAGCATGTGAAAGAAGCTATTAAAAAAAAAAGGAGTAATATGAAAACTAAAGCTTCTGTAATACTAAGTAATAACATTTATACACAAATATACTAATACTTCACCTTAATGTCCTATTACTCTAGAGATGTGACCGACCTTGTTACCACCATGAAACTGGGTTGGTCAATTTGACCGATCTTGTTACCACTGTGAAACTCGGTTAGTCAACTTGACTGACCTTGGTACCATCATGAAACTAGAGATATTATAACACTGACTTTACTAGCATATCTTAGAATTTGGCAAGTTTTAGTAAACATTACAAGTAGGCTGTATACAATAAATCAGATCTTTTAATATACTATTTTTACAAAAGATTTGTCTGTGGATTTATGAAGCCTTTACAGAGTTATTCTTAGAGGATGGTTATTTTCATGCTACAAATAAAAATACTTTTCATGTTACAGTCGTCATATTACACATACGAAACTTTTAGTACCTACTAAATAAATGTAAAATGTTTTTCTCAGTAATATTTTATACTTTATCCCTTATTTTCTTTACCCTAACACTACCTGTACAGAAATCAACAATATACAGTAAAATGAAAAGTTGAGAAATATTAAGTAAAAAGTTCATTTTTGTTTGTCTATAATGACTGCTATTATAAGAGGCAATTGTGGATATATATTGTAACAGCTTCAGGCTCTAACCATTTCACAACTTCTTTTATTTAACTTTATTGTTTTTAAACTATGCCTAACCAGCATAACATAACAATAAATCGTAAAGTGAGAGCTAAGGGTAAACAAACTATCAAACAACAACCACCTACATGCATTCCTCAAAGAGAGATCAGGAGAAATGTTTTTATTTAGTTTTTCCCAATTTTTCTTATTTAACCTAACAAGTTTCTGATTTTTACATTTTAGTTATTTTTGTTCATTGAGGCCTTTTATACTTGAGTGCATGGTTTAGTAAACCCATTTTTTCCTCTCATTATATTGGTTGTCCAAAAATGATTTATGTAGCTTTTAAGTATGCATTTTAGAACATAAAAAAATATACCAAGCACTAGAACAGAAGGTCCAAAAATTACTGTACATTAAAGAGCTTTCAACTAAGTTATAAAAAGATTAAAAAAAATTCTATTACTGCTCAGAGCAACATCTTTTGTCTAAACATTTTATGCATCCCTTGCAAACTATTAGCTTTGACCACTAGAGCAAAGTAGACAATTATCTGGTTTACATGGTTCATAATATGAAATGTCAGAGAAGTATAGTTATAGACAGACGAGGTGGGTGTGTGTGTGTCATGTGGGTTGAATAAATTTAGTGATATCTCATTAAAGCAATAAGAGGTTGAAAGTTTATATTCTGGCTTGTCAACTATAGTATGCATTTCTAATTAGCTGAACAATCTTATAAAGAAAGAGAAAAAATTACTAATGAAAAGTGAGTCTGCCACTGCATGTGATTCAAGGGGGTGCTGATTGAGAATTTATTTAACTATTTCCTTTTCAAATTGAGAAATTAAAACCTAGATAATATAAAAATTTGAATTATGAACAATATTTTGATGCCATGTTTATTAATACACACATTGATAATATGCATACTTTGACCTCCTCATATGCATAGGATTAAACATTCCTTTCTAGACACTACTTTCGTAATGTCTACCTTTAAAAACCATTAATCCTTGAGACGGGCAATGGGTGAAAGGCCATGTCATCTTGTTTGTTGAATCGCATTTATTGAACTACTATTTCATGAATTTATGTCAATAAGTTTGGTATCAAACTGTAGATTATAATTCAAATTTTAGTATTATACCTTACTCAATTTCTTAATTTAAAATTAAATATTAAAGAACACAGATAAACAGCGGTTTTTGTGTGTCACGTGGTATCTTGAATGCAGCACTGGTTCAAATTAGATGTTTGCGAAGTCAAAATACTAAGTCTATAGTTTTGTATGAATTAGAAACTCAAATTACTAATATTGACAGGCTAGAATATAAAATAAGAAAGTAATATCTTTTCTATTTGCTAAGATATTGCTCAAGTAATAAATCAAACACAGTGGCACCCCCACCCACCTCTTTCCATTTTTGGAAACTCTCCCTTATACACTTACTTCTATATATGACATGAATAACCAATCAGAAGCTCAGAATGTCCCCCAAGTGGCTTTCTCAGCCATTTTAACTGGCTTGGATGCCATTTCTTTCTTTTCAAGCAATATTTCAAGGAGGTAGGGTGTGTCTTTAGTCTGCTCGTAGACTAAAATACATCTTAGTTACTGAGCGTGATAAAGTATAGTAGAATTCTATGGTATTGATGTAGTAATTTATGATTCTTTAGTTATTCAAATGTATATATAAAACCTAAAGTAAATTATTTTATTTCATATCCTCCACATGCAAAATTTATAAAGGCTTAGCAACCTATGTCAAGCAGCAACTGAGTACAAAGGTCGTAACTAGAAAAGATAATTGTTTGCTTTACTTCTTTATTTACTGTTCTATGTTTTAAGACAAATAAGTAAGAACTTATTTCAAAATAGCAATTATCTATAAACATATATATAATGTATAATAATTGAAATTTGACTGTACTTTACAAAATACTAGTCAGCTAAAACACAGCCA